TTTCATATCATGGTGTCCCAAAGCTCCCTTAGGCTTTCCTCCTGTTTTTTAAGTTTGTTTTTTTTCCAGTTGCTGGGTATTTTTTTCTACCTTGTCTTCTAGCTCATTGATGTGGTCCTCTGCTTCTTCTAGTCAACTGTTGATGCTTTCTACTGTGTTCTTCATTGCAGCTATTTCATTCTTCATTTCTTCTTGGTTCTTCATTTCCTCTTGATTTTGAACATGTTATTGAATTTGTCTTTCATCTTTTTCAGCTTCCTTAGACCATTTCTCTGAATTCTTTCTCTGACAAATTGCTTGCCTCCATTTCGTTTACTTCCTTTTCTGGTGATTCATTCTTTTCTTTTGTATGGGGGCTGTTTCTTTGTCTCCATATTTTCGCTCCTCTCAGGGTGTCTGGTTATGTGGCTCACTCTCTACCATATGAATTAAAAGGCACAAAATACAACTCAAGAAGACATGACACAGAGAGAAGAAAACACGAATGTATTCATGACACTGATAATTCCAAACAAAGGTCGCTGGGGGGTGTGACCAGCCTGCAAACCACCACAGGACCCTTGTCCAGGCTGCCCAACGCCCCAAGGGAACCCCCTCCCTGATCTGGGACACCCGAGCAAACCAGCTGCCCCCCACCCATGTATCAGGCCTCTATCCTCTCTAAGACTAATGTGCAGATTGACCATCACTCCAACACCCAAGATGGCTGCCTCTATTTGGTCAAAGATCCTGCCCCTATGTGGACACAAGATGGCCACCACAAGATGGCCAGCAGGGGAGGGCAGTTGGGAGGGACCAGGCCTGCAAGGAAGGGCAGTTTTGGGTGATCAGACCATCAGGGGAGGGCAATAGGGAGGGTCCAGGCTTGCAAAGCAGGGCAGTGGGAGGCAATCAAGTCTGCAGGGGAGGGCAGTTTGGGGTAACCAGGCTGGCAGAGGAGGGAAGTTGGGGGCAAACAGGCTCACAGGGGAGCAGTTACACCCCAATCAGGCTGGCACAGGAGTGGTTAGGAGTTGATCAGGCTGGCAGGCAGAAGCGGTTAGGGGCAATCACGAAGGCAGGCATGTACAAGCAGTTGGAAGCCAGCAGTCCATAGATTCCCCACCCACCCCTCACCTGGGGCAAGAGTTTGTTTAAAGTGAAATATCATTTCTTTTTAAAAAATAAATCTTTATTCAGATTATTACAGGTGTAACTCTTTTTGATCCCCCATAGCTACTCTCCACCTGACTCCCCATCCCACCCCACCCCATGCCCTTACCCCCCGCCACTGTCTTCATCAATAGGTATAAGATTTTTGTCAATCTCTTTCAGCACCCTTCTCAACTCCTTCCCCCTAAGAATTGTCAATCCACTCCCTTTCTATGTCCCTGATTCTATTATATTCACCAGTCCATTCTGTTCATATTTTCTATTCACTTGTTGGTAGGTATGTATTTGTTGTTCATAATTTTTATCTTTACCTTTTCTTCTTCCTCTTCTTAAAGAATACTATTCAGCATTTCATATAATGGTTTTTGGTGGTGATGAACTCCTTCAGTTCTTTCTTGTCTGTGAAGCTCTTTATCTGCCCTTCAATTCTGAATGATAGCTATGTGGGGTAGAGTAATCTTGGTTGTAGGTTCTTGTTATCACTTAGAATATTTCTTGCCACTGCCTTCTGGCCTGCATAGTTTCTGCTGAGAAATGAGCTGACAGTCGTATGGGTACTCCCTTGTAGGTAACTAGCTGATTTTCTCTTGCTGCTTTCAAGATTCTCTCTTTGACTTTTGTCCTTGGCATTTTAATTATGATGTGTCTTGGTGTGGTCCTCTTTGCATTCCTCTTGTTTGGAGTTCTCTGCACTTCTTAGACTTCTAAGTCTATTTCTTTTACCAGTTGGGGGAAGTTTTCAGTAATTATTTCTTCTAATAGGTTTTCAATATTTTGCTCACTTTCTTCTTCTGGCACCCCAAAAATTCAGATGTTGGTACACTTAAAGTTGTCCCAGAGGCTTTTTACACTATCTTCATATTTTTGGATTCTTCTTTCTTTTTGTTTTTCTGGTTGGGTGTTTTTTTGTTTCCTCATATTTCAGATCTTTGGTTTGATTCTTGGGGTCCTTTGATCTACAGTTGAATTTCTGTATATTCTTTATTTCAGATAGTATATGCTTAATTTCTGACTGGTCCTTTTCCATTTTCTTGGCATTCTCATTAAGGTCCTTGAAGGTTTCACTAAGTTCCTCAGAGGTTTCATCAAATTTCTCGGCGGTTTTTAGGAGATTCTTTGAGTAACCTTATAACTGTGGTTTTGAACTCTATGTCCAGTAGTTTGCTTTCCTCTATTTTTTCATTTGTGACATGTTTCTTTGTCTTCTCATTTTGACTGCTTCCCTGTGTTGATGGAGTGGCTTTGTGTGGTGGATGACCCATAGGGGCCAGTGGCTCAGCCTCCCCAATCACCGAGGCGGTCGCTCTTGGTACACTCCTTTGTGGGCTGAGTACAAAGCTTGGTATAGTTAAGTCTTGATTGCTGTTGGTACATTGGGAGGAATTGACCTCCAGGCCAATTGGCTGTGAGGACCCACTGTGTTTATAATGGAAGAACTGATGTGCTGGAGACACACTTATGGGGCAGGACTTGCTTCAGTGGGGCTTTGCTGCTTACTAAGTCTGCCTCTTGAATATGCCACTATGGATGTGAGGAGTTGAAATCTGATGTCATCTCCAACTGACCACTACATACACTGGCTTCTGGATCGTCAATGGGTTGCAGGTCAGCTACTGTCTGAGGCTACCCAGCAGGAGCTATAGTGGGAACTACAGTTTTCTCCTTTTTGCTTGGGGTTTGGAAGTTTTGGAGCTGTCTGACTAAAGCTGCAGTTTGTTAGGTTAAGCTGCAATATGGCAGGCCATTTATATGCAAAAGCTGCTGCATGGAGCTTGGGTGGGTTTGTAGATTATGTGGGGCGGGGTCTCATGGAGTCCCTATGCTAGGGTGTGGAAAACAGCGATGGCTGCCAGTCAGTAATATCAGTGTCTCCGAGTTTCCACATCTCCACATATTGCATCCCAATGCAGTAAACAATGATTCCTGCGCGTAGACAGTCTAGCTTCTCCCCGTAGGAGTTTGGGTCCCCAGCATCTCCCCACAAACTGGAGTTCAGTGTAATCAGGAGCTTATTTCCCTTTGGGCTGAAAAAAGCAGCACACCCAGTCATCTGCTGCCAGCCGGACAGGCACGCCTCTGTGCCTTTTTCAGCGCTTGTGCACGCCTCAGTGCTCTTTCCTCTTTCCTTCTAGTTGACGAACTTCCACTCAGCCAGCTTTCCTGTGGTTCTGGGTGATAGACATTTTGTCTTCTAGTTGTAGTTTTGAAATTGTTGAGCGAGGCAGCAGTATAGGTGCCTATGCTACCATCTTGGTTGCTTCGAACTTCCAGATTCTTAACCAGAGCCCCCCTGGGTGTGGCCGTCCCTGATGTAGCAGCATTGCTTGGGGGTAGGGAATTTTGCAGTGGCCGCCAGGCAGTGACCAAGTGAATTACAAGTACATGTGTGTAAGCCCCTGCCCCGCAGTAGGATGGATTGTTTAGGAGCATTTACTTATGAAGATTCAGTAATCTTTTGTAATCAGTATATTCTCTAGAGCAGTGTTCTCTTATCCCAGAACCCCTTTACTTGTTATTTCTAACTTTCTTGTGAGTTAACGTGCTTATTAGGCAAGTTTTTAGATTCTTTGTCTGTCTTAGAATCAATTTTGACTTATATAGGAGTTAAAGGGAATTGTAATTAAACTTGTACTTCTTAAAAATTAAACTCCATGCCAAATAAAGTAGTCAATTAGGTATCATTGTTTTATATTTATCTCTTACTATCTTTACTATTAGACTTTTTCAAAAACCCAATTATACTGATATTTGTAACATGTTACCTGTTCTTATTACTAGAATAAGTAATATTATTAATACATAAAATGCCATAGGTTGAGATAATTTCTAAAAAGGACAGAAATTGAAGAAAGGAATGTGAGGAAATTTAAGCACTCATTTTAGACTTAGATTTGCATTTAATATATATAGCATCAAACTCTTATCAAGAAGCCTCCTATAACATTGCTTTTAAAAAACAAGCAAGAGGAAATGGTTTAGTTCTTTTAGCTTATAGAATTGAAAAAAGAAAAGCATTCCTTTTGTTTTCTACCTTAGGAACATATTTTTAATAATTGATACTACTGCTATAGTAACTTTTTCTAGGTTCTTGTTATTAAAGCGAAATCGAAATAATTGAGGATCATGCTTTGATCATGATCAAAGGGTAAAAAGGTCAATAGAGCAATAATCAGCATCCATGTATTTTAAGGGGTGAGGAAAAGTGATGGACAGGAAGGAACTTTTTCTCTTAGGGAAACAAAGTGTAACATCTTAATGGTAAAATATCTCTTTGCCCTTTTTAAAAAACCTGTAAAATGGAAATATCTTCATACGTAGTTATATTTTAGGATTAAATAAGATAACACATATAAACAATTTAGAGCAGTACCTAGTATTAGGAAGCCCTTAATAAAGTTAGCTGTTGTTATTATTTGGATTTCTTTTTAAATCCTCACCTGACGATATTTTTTCTATTGATTCTTTTAGAGAGTGGAAGCATGGGAGAAAGGGAGGAGAGAGAGAAACATTGGTGTGAGAGAGAGGCATCGATTGGTTGCCTCCTGTTCACACCCAGACTGGGGCCAGAGATGGAGCCTACAGTGGAAGTAGATGGCCTTGACTGGGAATTGAACCTGTGACCCTTTGGGCCATGGGCTGATGCTCTAACCACTGAACATCTGGCCAGGGCTATTATTTGGATTTTAAATAAGAGAAACCATACTCAGGGACAGCTGATTATAAAAAACCCTGCAATTTAAGATTTAACAAAGTATTTAAGATATTAACAGTGATGTAATGACTATCTTACAAGTGAAATAATTTCATTTATCCTTTTTTTTTGTTTTTTTTTTTGTACTTTGTTTCAGGTTTCCCCTCAAAAAACCTATAAGGTAAGTTGTTCAGTTGTTATTCATACATTTAGATTAAATTTTCAATAGAATTATTTCTTTGAAATTATGGTGGATTTTTTGTGGCTTTTGAAATGTAGATTTTATTTTAAATTTTCAAAATATTTTACAAATTAGAATGTAATAGATGTTTCTATTTTTTCTGGAAGATACCATTGTTTTGATAACATTTTCAGTGTTTTTGATACAAAATTGGTATTACGGTCACTCCCTATGAAATTTTGCTTTTATTTTCTCCCCTTTTCCTATTCTTTTTATTTTCATTACTTATTTTTATTGTTAATTCTATTACAGATTTTAAAATCTATTGTGACTGTTTTTGATTGTGAATAACTTAGGGAGTGTAAATGGATTACTAGTTTTTAATGGGTTTTAGCATCTGATAACTGTAACTGCCTTTAGTTAATGAACTTTGGCAAACTGGATCAGTCTTAAAAACTTTAAGACAGTAAAGGGAAAAATCCAAAACGTTTATATGTCTGTACTCATATCAATATCTGCACATTTATTAATTTCCCAGGATTAAATGCCTCTTTCTTAACACTTGTTTTTCAATATTTCTCCCTTTTTCATCTTGTCATAAATATTATTTAAAATGTAGATAGAATGTCATTCCTGCTTACCTTCATAGGACATTCATCATTTTTAATGACACCATAGTCCAGGATACCAATGTTAATCTTGGGATTTCAATTAACTAGTTGTGTATGCATTATAGTCAGTCTTATTTACTGCCCGGCCATTATCTGATCGGTGTAAGTTGATAGACCATAAGAAAATAATTTCAGTGTCATCTGGGTTTGCTTAAGAAAGACTGCTGTAACTAGAACTATTTGCAGGTTTTAAGTGCAGCTTCCCAGAAAATTTTTTTAACTGCTAACATCAGTGCCATATTTATACAGTGACTTTAAATCTGGCCATGGTATATTTAGGTTTGGGTAATGTATTGAATTACTTGAAGGCATTGTCTCTTATCTGTTAAATGAAAATATTAACGAGTAGCCTTTGAAAATCCCTAAAATAATTTAAGCAGTATACCTAAGAATAAAACAAACTTTATTCCTGAATAGTACTTTTACAATTTTAAGCACTTTTTATAACCAAGTAAAGAGTCACTGTGTTACTTGTAGTACAGACTAAAATTTAAAACTTTTTGAAAAAATAGAGAGGTTTATGAGAGTGTAAGGTAAACTGATTTCTTGGTCTCTCTGTAAGACACACTTGATATTTTTAAATTAAAATTTTATTCTACTGACTGTTCTGTTGTACCTATTTGATTGCTTTGATTTGATTTAGGCATGGAAGTATTTTGAACCGAGAGTCACCAGCTGATAAGAAGCAGAGAGTTGAGCGCAGTGCATCACATGACTTCGACCCCACAGGTAAAAATCCTTCCGAAGAACAGTGAAAGCAGTGGGTGCCTGATTCTATCACGTCAGCTGCACAGCTGCGTGGACTCCTGTTCAGAAGGAGGACTCCTGTTGAGGACTCTCCTCCTTCAGTTATAGCACAAACCCTTTCTTCTTAGGAGAAATGCAACTTTTTTAACTTCCAGTGCCTTGTATTCCACTGTGGAAGCTTCATTGTAAAGTGTATCATATTTAAAAAGAGTAATTATAATAGAAATAGTTTTTATATCATAACTGAGTATTTTGTTGCAACCGACTTAAAATTAAGATAAAACATAGGTGTGGACTAATAAGTAAGTAGTATGTCATAAAATTAAGTCTACAACAAGTACCAATTTCCATAGTCATTTAAAAATTCAGGTCTGGAGTAGATTAAATGCAACTTCAAAATTGATTATCATTTTAAAGTAAGCAAATGAGAGACCCTTTGCTCAGTCAAAGAGGATTTTGCACTCAGAAAGTCTTTCACCTTTCCTAGCGTTTTCGTGTCAGTAGTCTACTTACAGCTGTTGTTTATAGAGTTTTCCCTTCTCTTGCAAAATACGGGAATTAGCTTTCTCCTTATAAATGTACCAAGTATTTAATTGATAAAAATTGCTTGATAATTCAACTTTCACCTTTTGAAACTGTTGTGCATTCTTTGTGCACATACTGTTTTATTCAGTGGTATGTTCCTGTGACCAAAGATAAAGTAAATGCTGAGGTCCCAGATACATAAATATAATGTATCTGCTTTTAGATATTTTCACTTAGAAGTAAAATTTAATTTTTAATAGAAAGTAAGTAAGTATATTTTTGTGTCTAATTAAGATGCTAGGAAGGAAAGAATAGAAAGTGCATAGCTAATATTGTAACTTACCTGCATCTTCAATAGTAGATAAAATGAAACCTCAATAATCAATTTCGAAAGTTTTGATGGTGGGAGTTTGTAATATGTAACTTCTAGATCTCCATTAAAAGATACTTTAAAAAAATTTTTTGACATCATGGGTCACAGAAGCTTTTACTTATATGATTACTTATTGTCTTGCTAGCAAGGTATTGTTCATCTGTGATGTGACACATTTAGCAAAGTGATGTGTAATGCTTCATAATGAGATTATTATAGTTTTTAGTGCTTTTTCTGTCTCAAATTTTCAGATGATGTATTTTGTAGACTATTCATGCTTTGTTTTGTTTGAATATATATTTTTGCACTGTCTTTTCTTTGGTAATTCTGTAAAATATGTCATTACCTGTGTTGTTTGTGACTATTCTTAAGTGCTGTCACCTGTGATGTTCATACTTTGTTTGCACGATTTAACTTGATCATGATTCATTCTTTCCCCCCATGAGTTTTCCCCTTACATTGGTCTCCATGTTTTCTATATCTCTCTCCTTTTCTCCCGCTCTGTGCAGATAGCTCCTCCAAGAAGACAAAGTCTAGTTCAGAGGAGAGTAGATCCGAGATATATGGTAAGCTCACATAGCCAATCAGCCTTGCACCGTTGGAGCTTGCTTCATGCTGTTTCCTTTTAAAAACAACTACAGCCTTCCTGTCTGCTCTGCATGGCATGACGTACTGCAGGGAAAAGGAGCTGGGGCCAGTGTGGCGGTGATGTGGAAGCTTAAGGCTGCTAGAAACTAACATTGTCGAGTAAGAATAGGCCACGTTACTCATCTTTTCTTGCACTTTGTTCATGAAGGAAAGTGTCTTTCCTCTCTTTGGGTCAGGTTCCTCCATGTCACATGTAGCATTGGTTTCTTGTTATCTTCTTCCCATGTCCCATTGGCGGAGTTTGGATCATGTAGAATTTGTGTAATTTAATATGTGTTAGCAGTTCTTTGAATCTTTATTTTTTATTTGTTTATTTATTTTTAATCACCTCATCTTTTGGAAATGCTTGTATGATTTATCCACAGCAGTAAAATACTTTAAATTTTTATTTTTGTAACATGAAGTATTTTCTATGCCTTTCATAAGTCTCCCTAAAATTTAGGAATGGACAATTTCAAAATGGCAAAAAGTTAGAATAACTTTTATAAAGAGCAGGTTTCAGCAGAACATCAGCTTTGTTTTTTTGTCCCTCCGTGTTCTCTCTTCTCCGCGTGTCTGGTTATGTAGTTCTCTCTCTCCTTCTCTCTATGGTGGGTGTAAAGCCCTCTGAATCCATGTGTTCTGGGGCTTGCAGCTGTTGGGTGCGCAGTTGTAGGTTTTCAGGGTTCCGATAACATCCACCTTCCCCTTCAAGATGGAGCCAGTCACTCCAGGAGGGATCCCAGCAGCAGTGGGGGCTGCCCGGTCAGGGGAGCCCCGTTCAGCAGTCCCCCACCTTCTCCTGGAGGACAGCTGTCCCTCACTCACTAACAAACACTCCTCGTGCGACCACTCTCCCTTTGTTTTCTCGCCCACACACTGTCTTGCAGTCTCCTCCCGGCAGCCATCTCCCTCCCCACCTCAGGCGGCCAGTTGGAAGGTGGTTGAGACACCAGTTTCCAGAGGGTGCCCTGGTTCCTGGCACGGAGAAGCCACACTGTGAAGCCCACACCTATTTCCTTTTGCCTTTGCCTAGTTTTATTTTTCCTCTCCCCTTGTTTTGACATCCAATTAGCTTTTTGAGAAAAGTGGCAGGGCCTGGGGCCAATACTTTAATCTCTGAAAGAATAAGCTTTTGTTTTGTTAAAAACATATTTTTATTTTTATTGATTTCAGAGAAGAAGGGAGAGGGAGAGAGAGAGAGAAACATTAATGATGCAAGAGAATCATTGATTGGTTGCCTCCTGCATGACCCCCACTGGAGATTGAGTCCATAGCCCTTGATCAGAATCGAACCTGGGACCCTTTAGTCCGCAGGGTCACGCTCTATTTACCAAGCCAAACCAGCTAGTGCAGAAGTTTTTTGTTTAAAGACGACTCCAAATTTAGCATCAAAGGAAAACTATGTCTTCTCTAATACAACCAAAAGTCTATTAAATAGAGGTTCCCCAGGTGTAGTTGTTTTCCTAGCTTGATAAACATGAAAGGAAAATAATATATGACATTTTATAATTTATATCTCCTGATAAAATTATGAGGCCTCAGTGTTTGGTTATAAAGCAGTAAATCTTCTTTGTTAGATACATACACTTGGTTGTTTGCTTGGGTTTTTGTGACCAGAATTTTCTCTATGTAGTTAGTAAACCTTTTACAGGACAGTAGTTCAACAGATCTCAGGTTTATGTTTTTTCTTCCAAAGTATCAGGCGCCACATAAGTAAGAAATAGCTTCTGAATTTCTCGATACTTCTTTCTGTTCTCTATAGAGTTGGTTTATTCACCCCTTAGGAATGGGGACACTACCTTTATAGCCCCATTCATTTCGAGACCTTTACAACTTTGCATTTTACCCTCACCACCCTCATCACATTTGCCTAGATCTGTGGATCTGTGGTATGTATGAAAGCTTGTTGTTTGATTTGGATGTTAATATTCCAGTGATAGGAGCACTTCGAAAACATGCCATTGCTGGTAGTCTTAGGGAAGTGGGTGTGGTTCTCTGGGTGTGTGTTTCCTGACAACCCTTGAAGGCCTTTTGTAGAAGAAACTGAACCAGGAGTCCCAAAAGGTATTTACAGAAGGACGAGTTTTCAGAGCTGAGTTAGCATTTGACTGCAGCCTCTTCGGCATCACAAGCATGCTGTCCACTGTGTGCATGGACCTCTTCAGGCTGTGTGCACTCGCGCCTCTGGGAACCACGGGCCATCCTGGAAGATGAGACGAGAACAAAGAACTGGTGACATTGTGTAGGTCTCTTAACCAGCCAGCTTCTAACTTCTGAGATTGCACATTGTCTTGGATTAGAATTTATTAATTGGATACTAAACACAAATGTCATTTGTTCAAGTATAAATTACATTTATTTTAAACTTTCTAAGCCATTTTCAGAGCTGTTTTATCAGATGGATTTACTTTGCACATTTTAAAAGGAGCCCAAGTGTTTGTTTTGTAGTGATTCCTTTTGTTAATTTCTTGCCCAAGGCAGTAGGCCAGTATTTCTTCCCTCTCACCTTATTTCCGCTGTACCTTTTGGAGTCTGTTGATGATACTATAATAGTATACAGGTGTATTTTTTGACCTGCAATTTTAAAAAATATTAAAAAACTATATATTTTATTGATTTTTTACAGACAGGAAAGGAGAGGGATAGAGAGCTAGAAACATTGATGAGAGAGGAACATCGACCAGCTGCCTCCTCCACACCCCCCACTGGGGATGTGCCTGCAACCAAGGTACATGCCCTTGACTGGAATCGAACCTGGGACCTTTCAGTCCACAGGCTGACGCTCTGTCCACTGAGCCAAACCGGTTTCGGCTTGATCTGCAGTTTTAATATTTACTTTTCTCTTTTCCCCCCCACTAATATTGTAATGGAGAAATTTTGTGGGGTATGAGATTAAACAAGGGAATTTTGAGCTAGACTACTTCTCCTAACTTCTGTCTCAGTTTCATGAAGAGATTCCAGCTGATAGTATTTTGTACAATAAAATAAACAATGCCTTTTTGAAGCTGCCTCACTCTGTTGGGGCTGCTGTAACAAAATGTCAAAGACTTTCCTTGAGTAACAAGAATTTAATTATTTTCTCATCGTTTTGGAGGCTAGAAGTATGAGATCGGTGCCAGCGTGGTTGGGTTGTGGTGAGAGCTCTCCCCTGGCTTGCTCTGACTCACTCAACATATGCATTTTGGGGGGGACACAAACATGCAGTCCATGACGGGCAAACTGTTAGCACTTGAGACATCTTGGTTTGGATACTTCAGAGTACATATTTTTAAAATTCATATATTTTTCCTTTTTTAATATATTTTTATTGACTTTATTGGAGTGGCATCCTATCTAATAAAGAGGGCATATGCTAATTGACTATCACACCCTCACAAAGATGGAGGTGCCAACAGCCAATAAGGAGGGAATATGGTAATTACTCTCATGCCCTCAAAGATGGTGGTGCCCATAGCCACAAGATGGTGGCACCCATTCCCCTCAGCCCTGCTGGGGCGCCTGTTTCCAGAGTCCCCCTGTTCCTTCAGTCCTCCAGCTGCCCACCGCTGGCCGGAGACACAGGCAAGCCTCGGGTGTTGGTTGTCCAGTTGTCCAGGTGCCCAGGGCCAGCCCAAGGGACAACCAAACGACTGAACAAGCAGGCTGTGTGGGGTGACCAGGCCGGCAGGGGAGGTAGTGAGGGATGACTAAATGACTGAACAGCAGGCTGTATGAGATAACCAGACGAGTGGGGGAACCATGAGGGGCAACCATGAGGGGCTTTTGGGGGGTGGGGGGCCTGTTGTGGGTGACCAGGATAGCAGGGGGGAGCAGTTGGGGCAACCAGGCCTATAGGGGGGACAGTAAGAGGCGACCAGGCCAGCGGGTTGGGGTACAGTTGGGGCAACCAGGCTGGCAGGGGGGACAGTTGGGGGTGACCAAGCCAGCAGGGGGGGCAGTAAGAGGCAATCAGGCCGGCAGGGGTGTAGTTCAGGGTGATCAGGCTGGCAGTGGGGGCAGTGACTAGTTGGGGGGGGGGGGAGGATGGGGCGACCAGGCTGGAACACAGAGGCAGTGAGGGGTGATCAAGCAGGCAGGTAGGAGAGTGAGTGATTAGGAGCCAGCAGTCCAGGATTGTGAGAGGGATCCCTGATTGGAGAGGGTGCAGGCTGGGCTGAGGAGACCCCATTTCCTCATGCATGAATTTTGTGCACTGGGCTTCTAGTTGGTTAATAAAATTATTTAGATTTCAGGTGTACAATTCTATGATATATCATCTGTATATTATTGTATTATAGAACCATAAAATGCTGCAGCAGTCTTGAGAAGGAAGAACAAAGTAGGAGAGATCACAATACTGGATATCAAATTATACTACAAAGCCATTATTAACAAAACAGCCTTGTACTGGCACAAGAACAGGCAGATAGACCTATGGATCAGAACACAGGCTCCAGAAATTGACCCAAGCCATTAGGCTCAATCAATATTTGACAAAGGAGGCAAAAACATAAAATGGAGAAGGGAGTTTCTTCATCGAATGGTGCTGGGAAAACCAGACAGTTACATGCAAGAAGATGAAACTAGACCATCAACTTACACCATACACAAGAATAAACTCAAGGTGTATAAAAGACTTAAATGCTAGATATCAAACCATAAAAATCTTAGCGGAGAACATAGTAAAATCTCAGACATGTCAAGTAGCAATATACTTACGGATATATCCCATAGGGCAAAAGAAACAAAGGAAAATATAAATAATTGGGACCACATCAAAATAAAAAGCTTCTGAACAGCAGAAGAAACCACAATCATAATGAAAAGGGAACCCACTGAATGGAGGAACATATTTGTCAATGATATATCTGATAAGGAGTTAATACCAAAATGTATAAAGTACTCATACAACTCAACAAAAGGAACACAAGCAGTCCAATTAGAAAACGGGCAGAAG